TAAATCGTTATCCAGCAAAGACCTCAATCTACCGACGGAACGTACTTTGCTGGGACATATCAGCTGGTTACGTGAGCTCATGGATTTAGGTATAGTGCATAACGTACAGTGGTGCGACACTAGAGACATGACCGCAGACGGGCATACAAAGGGGAGTATCGATCGGGAGCTGCTTTTGGAAGTGATGTCAGGCACTCAGTCATTTCAGTACGACGTGAAGCAGTGTGTTCCCTTTTGGGGCCCCGAGGACAAAACCCAACCTAAGTCGAATCATTTTTAGTCTGTCCTTGTTGCCCTGCGGTCCAGCTTGCCAGCACGGGCGCCTAATATGGAGGCGCCCTCTTTCCTGCTCGGAAACGAGCCATACTTTTCACGCTTGGCAACGAGCCTGTTCAGTTTGGTTCAGGCTCTTTGCCTTGATACCTTTTGCCCAGAGGGGAGTAGCCTGTTTGGCTTACCTCTAGCTGGGCCGACAGCCCTTGTCTATCCGAGGGGCTGTCTTGCGCATGCGTGGAAAAGTTTTGCGAGGAAGCTAGCCGGCGAATATTCTCGCCTTCCAGTCTGGTGGTCGAAGAGACTGATATGCAAGGAAAAACAGTACAGGAAAACAGTCCACGCATGTCGAGAGCCTAGCGACCGCGCTGCTTTATCCTCCGTCTCCTCCCCTCCCGACTTTAAGGGTAGTTCTTTGGGAAATGTTATAGATAATCGGGTGTAAAGCCTGCGCGTCGCTGCTTTATGGCTCAAGGCACGCGCGCCCTATTTGCCCGGATACCTGACTTGGTATTCGCCATGTGCAGGAAAGATCTATACATCGACTTTCTCCTATCTTACCCATCCACATCCCATATCGTATTCCTTCGACGTGGAATTGGATGCAATATGACCTACCAGAGTCATTTCAGACTGAGGAGAAGGGGGAGGAGGAGGAGGAGGAGGAGGAGGAGGAGGAGGGGGAGGAGGAGGAGGATGAGGGGGAGGAGGAGGGAGGAGAGGAGGAGGAGGAGGAGGAGCAGGAGGAGGAGGAGGAGGAGGAGGAGGGAAGAGGAGAGACCAGAGCGAGTTCCGGCTGCATCAACACACCGCCATTACCAAGCCGAAGCAACATGCATCATATGTTCGCTGCGAAGAGCGCCCACCATGACAGACTGGCGCCCTGGTTCTTGGCCTGCCGCTCGAGCGAAAGCCTTGTTTCGTAGACGAGCCACCCTCCACCTTGTCAGCGGCCAGTAATGTCAACCGTGCGATTCGAAAGTCCAAGTCAGTTTTCCAACGATTTCAAATTGGAAATGAGCTACCCTCTTCTCGCTTATCTGCTGCCCATGGTTATGTTTTTGTTGCTGTCGAACTTGAAGAAGTATCTCGTGGCCTTCGGCCCATCCCGCCATCGTGCCTGGATTGTAGGTCTTTGGCCTCTGGGATGCTTGTGGGGATCCCTCGGGAGGCCTCCCGGAAGCCCCTCGGATTCGGTTTTGGGGCGTTTGGGGGCGCCCCCTCGGGGGTCTCTCGATGGTCTCATGAGGTCCGTTTTGTCGTGGGAGGATCGAAGGCGAGCCGCCAGAGAAGTCTGGTTCTGCCCCCCTCTGCGGCCAGCTGCGAATCCGACCCCCGCAGGTTCAGTCCACGCTGGGATATCGGACACCCCCACTGGGTTTCTCCTTGCTGCAGACATCCTTCGAACTCTGAGCCCCAACCCGCGTCCCAGAGTCTGCCCTGCAGGGGTGCTCCGGGTTGCCGTAGAAACACGGCCCCGCGCGATCTACCGTCCCTCGCGAATCGAACAGTTCGGGGCAGGGTTCACACGTGGTCATCACGAATTCCCCCCTCCTCCTCCTTTCCCTCCTCCTCCTCCTCCTCCTCCACCCCGTCCTCCCCCTCCTCCTCCTCCTCCTCCTCCTCCTCCTCCTCCTCCTCCTCCTCCTCCTCCTCCTCCTCCTCCCCCTCCCCCCCCCGCCCAAGCCGTTGGCCCCTCGGAGTCGAGGCTGGCCGCCAGCAGTGGCCATCGAAGATGCCCCCTCGGGGGCGAGACGGGCGCCAAGGGGTTCTTGAGCGCCGAGAAGGGCGATGGGCATTTGCAGGAGCTGACACCTGCTGCTCCTGGTGCTGCTCCTGGTGCTGCTCTCCTCCGCGCCCCGCTTCTCTTCCTCTCCATGTCTAGCCGCATTGCCCATCCGTCGAGGAGGAGAGGAGAACGAGGAGGAGGAGGAAGAGGAGGAGGACAAGGATGATGATGATGATGATGATGATGATGATGATGAGGAGGAGGAGGAGGAGGAGGAGGAGGAGGAGAAGGAGCAGGAGGAGGAGCAGGAGGAGGAGGAGAAGGAGGAGGAGGATGAAAAGGAGGAGGAGGTGGAGGAGGAGGAGGAGGAGGAGGGAGGAGGAGGAGGAGGAGGAGGAGGGAGGAGGAGGAGGAGGAGGAGGAGGAGGAGGAGGAGCAGGCCGAGGAAGACGAGGAGGAGGAGAAGGAGGACGGGAAGAGGAAGGGGGGAGGAAGAGGAGGGGGAGGAGGAGGAGGATAATGAGGAGGCGGAGGAGGAGGGAGAGGATGATGATGATGATGAGGAGGAGG